CCACTTACTAGAAAAAGATTTCTTTTTCAGCGCTCTGTCACAGTTGCTTAAAGATCTAATATTGTTAAATAACCTACTCTAATTGAAGCTGTTGAATCTCTGAAATATTCCAAGGAGTTGACTCACAAATCCTTTTACCTCTTTCCTTGTTTCAGTCTGAGTAAAGGCCTTCCATGTGTTTCAAGACAAAATTCCCCAGCCATTGGTCCCCTCTCTTACTGCATACTTAATACACTGGTCAGTATTTGACACTTTTAAGTACTGGGGCAAAAACTTGAAACCAGAAGTGAGCAAAGTGTTGGACCAGAAGAAAAATAACAAGATCCATGCATTTTGTTCTGTGAGCGAAAGCCCACACTCAGATAACTAGTTAGGATTCTTGATCTAACCAGTTTACTTTGAAAATGAATTTTTTTAAAAAAAATTATAGCAATAAGCATATATTATCATGGTAAGCATATGTTATGGCAGTAAGGCATCATGACTTCTAGAAATGGCAGGTGACAATGAAAGAAGACAAGAAGCATCACCTGGAAAAGTGCTACAGTATGAGATGATTCAATGAAAAAATAAGCTAAGCCCTACATTCTTTGAAATTCCTGAAAACATGACTAAACTATGGCTTTCCCTAACAACAGAGATCATCAGAGTTTCTTAATGCCACTAAGAAGTGGTTTCATTAGGCTCCATGGACTCTATATTTAAGACCAGTAGTGTGTAAGGTGTTTTAGAATTATTACCATTCAAAATAACATTGTATACCAGTTGCATTTGTTACTGAAAGAAGTATGTCTCAGATGTCTGGAAAATCAATTTATGTGGAACACTGCCCTGTCTGCAATACTTTATCCGAGCAAATATTATTTTTCTGTAAGAATATAAATTTGTATTAAAGTCAGGGCGTATGCACTAAGTGTCTGTTTATTGACTTTTCAATTACGTACCAGCTCTCTAGGTAATGGCACAAAATTAAAACCAGTCACCAAGCTTTTAAGACCGGGCTTGTATTCCTTGTCTTAGACCTTTATGACTCTGGGAAACCTGGGTAACTACTCTGTGTCTCAATTCCCCTTCCTGTTAAAGGGAAAAAACAATGCTGCTTCCTCAGAATGTTGATATCTGTAGAGGTCATTAGAATAGTGAACTAAGAATATTGAACTCTTCAGAAAAAGATGTGAATGTTGAAGCTAGAGAGAGGGAAAGCAGGGTGTTATAAAGCAAGTTCAAGCAAATAAAGGGTTATGTAGATACAAATAGAAAATATTGAAAGCCAGACAATTGTGGGAAGTTCATGTAAATTGTGGAGTTCAGGTAGTTTGGACAGGTAGATTTATAGGTTTTCAATGAGGTAATTCAGGTAAGTCAGGCAGGTCACAGGTCAGGCAGATCAAATAAGGAAAAGAAATCAGGGAATAGTCAAGTATAAAGAGATGTAGTTTGGGGAAGCAGAGAAAATTTGAAACAAAGTAGATAACAGGGGTTAGCAAGGGGTACAGATCAGGCCATATTTGAAATGAATAGTCATTGGTTTCCAGCCTCAGTCCTTTAAACTGGACTTCCTATCTAGTTTACCCAGTTTGCTTTGAGCATTCCCTCCAACTCTCCATTACTTTAATGTTCCTTATCGTGCAATTTAGAGAGCAAATTGGAGCCTTCAATTAGAAAATATTGAACTGCCAAGGGAAATTTAAAAACAAACTTTCATTTGGACAAATAAACAGAAAGTACTCATCTGCTTTTAAAATTGAAACTAGAAAATATAAGCTCTATGAAAGCAGTGAAACAAATAATAAAGAGAAGAGATGAAAGGGGAAGAGTAGGATGAGAAGAAAACAAAGGAGAGGAAGAGAGAAGGGAAAGGATAAGAAGACTGAAGAAGAGAAGTTGGGAAAGGAGTAAGCAAAGAGTTGGGGAGAGACAGACGAGCCGGAATTAGAGCATGACATTGGTGCCAGAGACTTGCATTCTAAATCTAAAAAGCCAACAGCAAATACTCACTTGACAGTGAAATACTGAAAGCATAACCCTGAAACCAGGAATGGAACCAAGCTTACTGCTGTCACAATTTCTGTTCCACATTGTACTGGAGTTCTTAGCTAGTGGTGCAAGGCAAGGGGGAAAAAAACCCAAAGAACTACAAAAGAAGAAATAAAACATTATTTACAGATGGCATGATGTGTGTACACACAAAATCCAAGCGCTTCAATTAGAATGAAGGTATTTTGCAAAGTCTCTGAGTGCAATGTTTACACACAGGAATCCATTGTATTCCTCTAACTAAGCACAATAAAAGAGATACAGAAATTTACAAAATGATGTCATTTATAATAACATATAAAAGTCTTCATATGCCTTCAAAGACTGATTCAGCAACAATAACAACAAAATAATTGCAGCAGCAATGACAGCTTGCGTTTGTGGACCACCTACAATGTGCTAAATACTCTAATCCTTTAATGGGAATTGTGAGAATGAAGTAATATGTGTAAAATAACTAGGGCGCTGGAGGCCTAGTGGTAAGAAGCTACGCTGCAATCCCAAAGGCATGTGGTTTCAATCTGCTAGCTGCTCTGCTGGAGAAAGATGGACAGTCTCCTCCTGTGCAGCTTACTGCCTCAGAAAATAAAATAACTAGCAAACTGCCTTGTGTATGGTAAATCATCAACGGTTTTAGTGATTTACAATTATATTAGAGAGGACTTACTCAGACTCGTTGGTAGAACTGAGCTGCTGCTCATCTTGCTTAAAGTCTTTAAAGTAAGCAGTCATATGCTTTTATTCTTCTGTTTTACATAGTTAATGAATTAATTTACTCAGCCAGGCACTTTTTTTGAGTTTTTTAAATAGCGAGCAAGAAAAAGCCATGCTCTGAGGAAGTTTACAATTTAATGGGAAAGTGGGAACTAATCAAATAATATCAAGTAAAAACAAATGAGTGAACGTCACTTTAAAAAAGAAAGAACAAATGACATTTGAACTGCATTCTAGCAAAGGACAAGTAAAACAGTTAGCAAGAAAAGAAGGTTCCATAGAGAGGAAGCAGTCTGGATGGAGGAAGAGCTTGGCCTGTTTCAGGAACTCAAGAAAAAAGTCTGGCATGAGTTCAGTACTTGAGGAGAGGGTTGTTGAGTGAGCTCTGGCTGCAAAGGAGCACAGGGCACAGGTCATCAGACCCTTGGGAATATTTTTTAATAGTTTATTTTATAGTGGTTTATATGAAAAACCCCTTTATACGTTAGGTTTCATTCATGTACATTGTGCTTCACACTCCTTCACTCACATTGTACAATCATTCATATACATTGTATTTTATAAAAGTAATCACCATTGGTCTATACCTACTGTTACCCTGTCTTTTTAGGCCCCCATTGGATCTTTCCTAATTCCTTCACCCTCCCCCGCGTCTGCCCACAAAATTCTATTATCCTGTTGATTTTCCCCCTTCTCTGCATCCTGCCTCTTCTTCCATTTTTTGTGGTTTTTTTTTTTTTAAAGCAGTGAAGTACATTTAGAGCTTTGTGTAAGAGAATGAGATGATCAGATTTGTATTTTGAAAATATTTCTCCACTAAAGAGGCCATATTACAGCCTTGAAAAATATCAAAGAAGGCTAGGTTATGGTAATGGTGGCAAAGAGAGGAATTAGTGAGTCTACTTGAGAGGTATTTTAGGAATAGAATTGATAGGGCTTGGCAGTAGCTTGGATAAGGGAGAACGGATGTATTGCTGGCACTTCCTGGGTTCTAGCTTCAGAACTGGATGACTAGGAATGAGGACACTCTTTTCTTCACTGAGAAGTAGTTTGTCTTATTTCATATTGAAAGTTGAGAGTGTATTTTGTCTCTTTCTTTTCCTATAGAAATTTGAATGTCTTACTTACAGGATAGAGTGGGGTTTAGGGCTCTTGCACACAGGGTCGCTATGAGTCACACGGGACTCGACGGCACATAACAACAACAACAACAACAACTCATGTGAAAAGGAATAATATGTTTATAATGCTTGATATTGGAAGCATAGAGATGCTTACTTGTTTTCTCTTTGACTTAAAAAAAGTTTTCCTTTTTTTCTCTAGCTTTAAAAACAGGCAAGCATATCTTTTTGCCTCCATCTTAATAAACTGTATGGATTCAGTACAGAAGTTGTATGTATGTCTTCTTTTATTTTAAAATAAAACTTTTAAGTCACCAAGTGGTTAGATGTAAGAAAAGAATTCCTGGTGTTAGAATATTATTGTCTCATCCAGATATTGTACAGATTGGATAATAGTACAGTCTGGTTGCTCTGTGATACTCTACCTCTGGTCTGGAGTGTCTTAGGTAGGTCTGTTAAGACTAGGTAAGACATTAAGGCCATCTTGGTGAAGGTCCTCATCTAATGTTGATAAATTGATGAGAATGAGTCTGTGAAAAAGCCCTGAAGTGGAGCCAGGCTTCTCAGGATTGACTGGGGCTATTGAAGCCTTGGCATTCTCTCAGAGAAGAATGCCTGAGACAAGTCAGAGTTTAAGCTTCTTTAGCTCCTCGTGACTTTTATGTAGCAGAAATACTCTAGTAGGATCTCTAAAAGGGAAGATAAACCACTGGTGGTTTTGTCAAGGCTGTGTGTGTATAATGGGAGTACAGGCCCAAGGCCTGATCCTTTGCTTAGATGCTGAATTGAGGTGTGGTGGATGTGGTAGCTGTTGCTGTTGCTGCGTGTATGAGAGAGTATGTATATATGTCAGATTAGGTGCTAGGCTGGTGTGCATGTTCTCCCTCTCTCTCCCTCTCAAGCACACACACACTCATTCTTCGCTCTCTTCAGTCTCTCCCTACCTCTCTGCCTCATAATCTAGCCATCTCTTGGTTTAGGGGAATAGGAACAGGACCTCATGAACTGCCAGAATTCTCAAAGCCAGCATGAAATAAGAACATGAGAACTTTTGTGCATAAATTTCCCCTCTCTCTCCCACCCTTCTCAAATAACAGGTGAATTCTCCCCTTTCATCTTTTCCTACAGCACTCTACCTCAGTGAGCATCATGGGCTTTTCCAACACCCTGGAGATGGAAGTGTCATCTCCAAGGCTATCAAGGACCCTGGAGCCCCAAATCCAGAGCGCGAACAACCTGGCAGCTGGCCCTACCCAGGCAGTGCCAACTCTGCTGAGTGGGCCCCCAACAAGTAGTCAAGGCCAGACCATGCCGACCCTGACACCTGGCCACCTGCAGACTCCCCCTAGCCTTGTGCGTGGCGCCCATCAGTCCTTGTCAAACCTGATAAGTGACACTCCTCAATCCATCACAAGCCTGGCCAGTGACCACTCTCAGGCTGGGTCCAGCCTTATGTCTGGTCACACCCAGACCATATCTAGCCTGGCAACTCGTCCTCTGCAGAGCACATCTCCGGCTTCTGATATACAGCCAGAAAGGAAATCCAGCTCCAGTTCTGGTACTGGCCGAGCTGTTGCCCTATGCTCTGGGGATGGGGCAGATCATTCCCTGGGAAATACACTATGTAAGGTAAGTCTTAAAGAAATGTCATTCAGTGGCAAAAGACTGCCACTGAATGCCTTTTTCTGGCCTTAACTTAGCAGCTCTGAGACTAATAATGCAAAATGTCTCATGTTTTTTATTCTTGTTACCCTCTTGCTTTTGAAAGCTGGAAAATGAGGAACCCACCCGCTTTGCTGAGTCTCTGATGCAAGGCTCCACAGTCCCTAATCTAGATGCTCCAAAGGAGTTGTCTTTGCCCTCAGAACTGGAGGAGCCCATTAACTTGTCAGTGAAAAGACCTCCATTGGCCCCAGTTGTCAGCACATCCATGGCTCTGCAGGAGTACCGGAACCCAAAAGGTAAGGCTCAAGGAGGCAGCCTGCCTTTTGTGCTGGCTATAAACTTGAGTAGATGGCCTAGCCCTTCCAGGTGAGACAGAGGCTAGCACACAGGCTCTGAACATGGGGACGGTGTTTTTCTGTAAAGCAAAAGTCATCTGGCCTCTCCAGAACAGACTTTCTTGACTATTGAAGCTATTTAGCGTTCTTCTCTGTAGCCTTAGCTAATCCAGGCCTGATTAGGCACATAGCTTTCTTGTCATGTCACTCATACAAAAACTCCCAGGAATCTGGTGTATATGTAGGGGGAAGCAGGAAGAACTTGCCCCACAAGGGCTGGCTTTGGCAGAATACTGTAAGAAAGTGAACATGACTTTGAAGTCTTATAGATCTCATTTTAAAACTAGCTTTTTCTTTTTATGTTTTATCCCCATTAAGTTATCTGATCTCTTTGAACTGGTTTCTTTCTTTGTAAATGAGGCTAGTTATGCCTATTTCATAGACTTTGGGGACAACTCAGTCCAGTAAAACCACTTGATAACTTTGTCTGTAATAAGGAAAATTTGCTTTGCACTGGCAAAAATACAAATATGTGTTGTGCCCCTTGGTAAAGGCAAGTCAGACTATTTTAGATTGACTCTGATTCTCAGCTCATTTATCCATGCCCTTTCTCAAATGGGTTAGGTAAGGCTTCTTTCTTTGTGGAGGGTAAAATCTAATTAGATATAGAAAACAGTTGCCTTCTAATAATTTTAGTCTTTTTCAGTTTAGTAATGTATGGTGCCAATTTAGTTTCTAATAATCTTTTCCCCTTATACTACCTGAAAGACCAATTGAACAATTGCTGGCTCTTAAAAACTGTCCAATAATGTAAACATGCATTATAAGCAATTAATTTTTTTTGAGACTGTTTATCCATGTGGTGTATTTTACTGTACCTCCCATAGAGAGCCTCGGCTGGTGCCTGGTGCTGAGTCAGCCCCTGGAAAGTGCCAGCTTGCCTTTCCCTCCTCACCAGTGCCTCCTCCCATCTGCAAAGACTGCACTGCTCAGACAGAGTTCCCAGAGAGCCTCTTGCCAATGAACCTTGAGTTAGTACCAGGCCCAAGAGGCTTGATAGGATGACTCCAAAGGCAACACCCAGGCACTGGAAACAAGTGATTTCTGAGCTCATTCCAAAAGCAGATATTCTGGACCCTCTGACCCAGCACCACTTCTGTTCTTAGTGTTGCCTGTGCTCATCTTTTTTGAAGAAAGTAGCCTTCCTCCCCTCATAAGACCCACACTAGTGTGGTCACCACTATGCATATTACAGTGTGAGTAACAGGTATATGGCTAAAGGTATAAATAGCAGATATGAGTGGAAAGTATGAGTGACAGGATAGGTGAAAGGGATGTGGTTATAACTATATAATTTCAGCTATTGGTAAAACAATGTATGACAATGAGTGTGATTACAGGTGTGGGTGGTAGGTGTGTTATCACAAATGTATGGCAGAGATATTTGTCTTTGTTCTTAGAGTATGAGAATTTTGAACAAGGAGACCTTGAGTTGGATACAAAAGAGAATCAGAGCCTCAGGTAACAAATTCTTTACCTAATCTCTCCCATCCCCAACTTTATGTCCTAGAAGGATGACACCAAAAGTAAGAATCCTTGATGTTTTAACAGGAAGTAGAAAATTGCCTATAACTTCTTTAACCCCTAGACCCTCAAGTAGAGGGTGTGCATTTGTCTGTGGTTGAATGTCTGGGATGGTTGAAGGAGGGCATCCTGGCTCCTGCTCTGTAAGACAGGCAGGCACTCTGTATGTATCCCTCCCTCTCCAGGGAACCCCCTTTCTTTGGTTTAGAGGTTGCAAAGGTTCGGTGTTTCTCTAGCCACAGAGCCTTCAACAGTGAACCCAAGATTCCCTATGTGCGATTGGAGCGACTCAAGATCTGTGCTGCCTCCTCAGGAGAGATGCCTGTGTTCAAGCTGAAACCACAGAAGAATGATCAGGATGGGAGCTTCCTGCTGATCATCGAGTGTGGCACTGAGTCCTCCAGCATGTCCATCAAGGTACCAATGTGACTTCAAACCAGCTCTTCTCAGTGCAGTTATGGCTGATAAAGTAAAACTGGAATGGACTCAAATTTGTGAAATGTGGATGTTCCAATATAGTAACTGTTGTTAGGTGCCATCCAGTATGACTCACAGAGATCCTATGAATGGTAGATCTGAACTCCGTCCTACTCTGTGTCCTCTTCACACTTCTTGACACACTGCCCATTGTGACAGTCACCCTGTTCATACGATTTTCAGAGGCCTGTTATTTAAGAAGTGGATGACCAATCCCGTTTCCTCATCTTTCTTAATCTAGGAGCTCTACTAAAACCTGTTCACCATAGGTAACTCTTATGGCACTTGACACACCAGTGGCACAGCTTTCAGTATCACAGCAAACTTACAGACAAGTGCTGTACCCAAACATCACAAACTACCAATTTAGTTTGGAATGCTAACTAAAATGGGGAAAATTATGGATCCGCACTGTGCTGGAAACTTAACCTCCCTCTTGGAAAACAACTACAGTATACACATTGCATGACCACCAATTTTTTTCCTGACTGGCAGAGTTGAAATCAATGGTGCCTCATTCAAAGATGGTGGCAGACTATGCTTCTTTAAATGTGGCAGACTATGCTTCTTCAAATGTATACTGCCTTCCACAGTCCAAGATCTTCCACTAGGCTTCCTGCAAGAGCTCACCATGTTTTTTCCAAGTCCATAGCGTTGACCCATAATGTCTCCCATAGTGGTTTTTATTCTGCTTCACCCAAATTTTAAAAATTATGTCTGTTTCAATTTCACTTCAACAGCCATGATTGAACCAGGCTGAGTACTGCTTTGCTCTGCCTTACCTTGAATCTTCCTCCACTGAAGGTACCCCTCCTTTTTCTTTGCTCTTGGCAGAATTTTGGCCTTAATGCTTTGGCCTGTACCCCTGAATGGGGCTGCAGCTTGGCCAGACTTTGTTCCCTGCTGCCAGATGTATATTAAGAATGAGCTGTCCTAGAATTAGTGGAATTTGACTAGTTTGAGTCTCAGAATAAATGGTTCTCAAAGTAGTATCTCGAGACCTGCCAGTCCCTTCCTTCCTCAACAAGCTATAGGCACTAAACTCTCTTCTTCCCTAAGGTCAGCCAAGACAGTCTGCCTGATACTATCCAGGCTCCAAGTCTGGGGGGAAGAAAGGTCACTGTTACTTCTCTGGCTGGGCAGAGAGCACCAGATGTGGAGAGTGCACCTTCTGAAGAACACAAACTCATTGCTCGAAATCCTGGAGTCAAGAAGGGTCCTCCAGCACCCATAGAGAATGAGGACTTCTGTGCTGTGTGTCTGAATGGGGGAGAGTTGCTGTGTTGTGACCACTGTCCTAAAGTGTACCACCTCTCCTGCCACGTGCCGGCCTTGCTCAGCTTTCCAGGGTGAGTCATGCCAGCCTAGTGCCATTACCTGGTGAGCAAGGTTATTTCTCAGTAATTTTTATTGTAAATCAGGCCCCATAGAATTCCCCAGGAAAGGCCTCCCTCCCTTATTCCAGGGTCTGTGTGAACTCTAGGAGCGTGAGTTGGTGGCCTTAGAGCTGTGTACCTTCTGCATGGATATTTGACATTTGGTTGTCATCCCTTCTTTTGCTCTAGTTTTTTCCTGCATATGGCTCCTTTCCTTTTACTCTCCTTTTATTCACTAAACCCTGAGTTATTAAGTGTCTTTCAAGCTTGTTGATGGGAAGCCATTCCTTACAGATTAGGGCTAGGGACTCAGTTGCTGTTTCACTGTTTCCCAAACCTCTCTTAGGGCAGAGGGTAGGGCTAGTGCTCTTGGCAATGAGCAGAGTCCTAACTTAACCTTGCCTGCCCATGCAGGGGGGAATGGGTATGTACCTTGTGCCGCAGCCTGACCCAGCCTGATATGGAGTACGACTGTGAGAATGCCCGCTACAACCAGGCCGGGGTGCGCGCACCTCCTGGACTGAGCATGTATGACCAACAGGTAGGATCAGGGTGCCCTTCCCAGGGCAGCCTCTCTATAGCCAAGGCAACTGAAGTTTTGAAAGGCCTTTTCTTTCTGCCTGTCAACTTGGGCCTTGGGGATTGTCATGATTATCCTTCTGTCAGCTCTTTTCCCTCTGGCCTGGGAACCTCCTCTGTGCCTTAGTTGTGTGGTTCATGTCCTGTAGGACAGTGAAACCCTCTAAAATGTTCAGAGTCATCATGGCTAATTCTTCTTAAGATGAGATCATACAAGTAACACTGATGCCAATTCTGATTTCTACAGAAATGTGAGAAGCTGGTGCTTTCCCTTTGTTGCAATAGCCTCAGCCTGCCCTTCCACGAGCCTGTCAGTCCCCTGGTAAGGAAGACATCATCTTTCTGTGTGCCACTGTCCTTTCTGCTTACATGACTTGAGGGCATTGGCAGGGTGACAGTTATATCAAGGGTGGACTCAAAGCATGGCTTCTGGATGTAGTGATAGTGTTGATTTGTGTATTGTCCAAGGGACCTGGGGACCATAGCTACTTCATTTTCTCAATAACTACTGCATCAAACCTGATTCGGCAAGTGACCCGTTCTTCCTCTCCCCGTTATTTCTGGCTCTTCATCCTTTTCTTTCCTTTTTTCCCACTCACTTTTTGTCCTTCTTTTTACTTCCTTTTTCTTCCTCTTCTGCCTCTTTTCCCCTTCTCTCCTTCCAAGGCCCGACATTATTACCAGATTATCAAGAGACCCATGGATTTGTCAATCATCCGGAGGAAACTGCAGAAGAAGGACCCCGCTCACTACACAACCCCAGAGGAGGTGGTGTCGGATGTGCGCCTCATGTTCTGGAACTGTGCTAAGTTCAATTATGTATGTCCTGCCCTGTTCCTTGCCCCTTCATCCCAATGACTCCAGGACTGTCCTGGCTGGAAGGGGAGTCAGGTTTGGTTCTGGGTTGCTAGGAACATTAAAGCTCTCTTCTATACTTTGGTTTCTCAAAGATCCCAGGGGAAGATGGGAAGGGCCTAGTGACTGGCCATCTGGGAAAACATATCAGTGTTATTTCTGCTCTAAGAGCTGATGCTGGACTGCTTATCTTGAGTCCTGAGGTGAAAACATGATATTTTGAATGTCCTACAAGAGGCCCACGACAGGCTCAAAAGTTCTCTCATAACTTGAGGAACATGAAGGAGGTGAGTTGGTGGAAATGGACCAGCTCATCACTGTTCTTCCCCTTCAGCCTGACTCAGAGGTTGCAGAAGCTGGCCGCTGCCTGGAAGTCTTCTTTGAGGGCTGGTTGAAGGAAATCTACCCGGACAAACAGTTTGCCCAGCCGAGGCAGGAGGATTCAGACTCGGAGGAGGTGTCTAGTGAGAGTGGATGCTCTACTCCCCAGGGTTTCCCGTGGCCCCACTACGTGCAGGAGGGCATCCAACCCAAGAGGCGGCGGAGACATATGGTAAAGAGTTGCTGCCAGTTGGCAGGCAGGAGGGTAGGGGGGTGGAAAGGCAGTGGACACATGAGAAGTGTCCTACTGCGTGGCTGCTTGGTGCTTACAATGACCCCTCACTTCCTATGCCCTTGCCTATCAGGAACATGCAGGCTTCATCACACTAGTTATAAATGAGGATCAGAATTCAGAGAGGTACTTGCCAACGGCCACTGACTTAGTTACCTGGTGTTGCTGTAACAAATGCCACAGATGAGTGGATTTAACAAATGTATTTATTTCCTCACAGTTCAGGTGGCTGGAAGTCCAAATTCAGGGTGCCAGATCTAAGAGAAGGCTTTCCCTGTCTCTCAGCTCTGGAGGAAGACCTTTGTCTTTTTTGAGCTTCTGCTCCTCGGTGATCTTCATGTGGCTTGGCTTCACCCTTGCCCATCTCTGTTTCCTCCCTAGCTGACTGTCTTTTGTATCTCAAAGATATTATCTCAAAATAAACTCTATATTAATCCTACATCATTGACGTACCAAAAATAATCCATTCCCAAATGGGATCATAACCACAGGCAAGGAGGTTAGGATTTACAACACATTTTAGAGAGGAGAGTTGATGAGGGAAATGGAGGGAGGTTCAACATAATTCGATAGTCATCCAGCAAAATAATGCTAGAACTCTCACTTCCCAGCTCAGTGCTTTTTACTTCACACTGTGATGCCCATATGAAGAGAAGTATCTGGTCTTAGTGCCAATCTCTACTTGGCTCTGAGGGAGAAAGGAAGGGATACCTGTTCTGCCTCTTGATGGAAAGAAGGAGGTTTACTGCTGGTCGTGAGGAGGTTCTTGAACTGATTCCACCTGTGTAGACCTGAAACATCAATTCAGTGCTGTGTGATTACACTGACATTTATTACCTGTTTGCTTTGTGGCAGGGCCTAATTAGCCAGCCACATTTTTTTCTTTTTAAAAATCATACATTAGCTAATGGCCTCTGAGTTTTGCAGTTGCATTTCTAGGATAGAATAAAATATTTTAACCCAGGACACTTTCTATCTTAATATTTAGCCTTTTAATTTTAATAAAATTATCCATTTGGCCATTGCAAGTCTAATTTTTCTTTCTTTTTTCAGGAGAATGAAAAAACAAAAAGAATGTCCTTCCGCCTAGCCAACAGCATCTCCCAGGTGTGAGAGCTGGAGGGAGAAGCAGCACTGACAGCTAGTGCCCCTTCCTGTTGCCCACTTCGTCCCACCTTTCAGCTCATTCATTCTCTTCAGGTTGTGGGTGTGAGACAAGTCTTGTGGAGCTGTATAGTGCTCTTCTTTGTCATTTGATACATTTTTGGGGGAGCAATAGTGCATCCATTACAGAGAAGATTTCAGTAATAAACAGCAAAGGAGGATGTGTTCCCTGCTATCCAAATAATCAGATGTATAGGGTTCACTAGACAATACCAAGCCTGGTTAGGCTCAAGAGGAACTAAAGTCTTGGGTGCTTTATGTGTGACAAAAGACGACTATTCACACCTTTCAGTGGCCAGGCCTCAGGAACAATGTATGTCTGAACTCCTGGGCTCATAAGTCATGAAAAGAAAAGTGAGAGGTTCTAACATACAGCAGGCCTATGATCCCTGGCCTAGCACAGCCAAAGACTGTTTGCCATTGTTTGTCCTGCTGGGACAGAGGCACCCACTATGGTCAGGGTAATAGAGGCTTCTAGAGACCATAGGTCTCAACTGGTGCCTATTTAATTCTAACGGTTTTCAGGGTATTTGTTGCTCATTCCCCTTTTCCTAATGCTGACTTAGATGGCCCATGAGAAAGTGCTCTGAATGGCGTGGCATTATTGACTGGATTGGGTGCTGTACAGGGTCCATGCCTGCCTCCTGTACCACCACTTCCTTTGGTCTGGGTCCTGAATTCTGCTGGAGGAAACTGCCAGGCAGCTGCTATCTGCTTCAAGTGGAGAGTTCTCTGGGCAAGAAGAGTGTTTCACAGCCAGTTGACTCTACTGTGCCTCTCAGCCTGTTTAGAGATCCCAATTCTCTAAGTTCACAGAGCCAAAGAACAGAAGTAGGTTTTCTGGTTAGCCTGCTCTGGTTGCCTGCGGTCCAGAAAAAGCCAAGACTCTTCTGGCAGCCAAATTTTGTTGTTGTTGAAGGTTGGAGAAAGCGAGAGAGACTGGCAGGAGCTAGGCCTAATTTCGCTGGAAATTCTTTCTTGGTTAGAGTACAGCAAAAACCAAAAGGCAATGAAGTCTGTGTTTTTTGGTGACCCTGAAGCAACTTCAGGACTTGGGTCTTCCTAGGACATGAAGAAGAGATCCTACAAGGAACCCACAGGATAAGAGTCCATGGCCCATGGAGTATGTTTGTGAAGAAGGGGGAATATAGGCAGATACAGGGTCAGACCATCTTCTAAGCCAGGTCTTGTTTGAGCGGAAACCTAAGCTGATGGCATTTCAGTGTCCTGCACCCTGAGATACAGCTCCCCCTGCCCTGCCATGGGTTGGCTAAATTCAAGAGAGAATCTCAGGTCATGGCTTTATTTTTGCTAAAAGATACAGTTTATGAAAATTGTTGTCTGTAGGTGCTTTGCTAATGGCCATTTTTCAATTCTACATTTCTTTTGCTGTGGTTAAGAATATATGCAGAAAAATATACACCAATTCAACAGTTTATCTAGGGACGTTGATGACATTCTTCAAGCTTTACAACCATTTTCACGCTCCTCTTCTGAATTGTTTCTCATTCATTATCATAAATTCACTCTCCTCTCCTTCAAGGTTCCTGACTAATCTTTTAAATTGCAGTTGTCAGTTAGACCCCATAGAAATAGTTCTGAAAAGAGTATAATGCTTAAGGCAGACATTTCTTTACTGCTTAAACGAAATTATTGGTTGGCTTTAATAAGATATATTGAGATATGTTTTCAAGTTTAGAAATTATCTCAGACAGTAGTTTCAGGGGCTTAGCTACCCAGAAGAGATTCTAGATTCCAAAAGAATTTTAAATTCTATTCTGCATTTCCCCCTTTTGAGCATCAAATGTTACAGAATCTCCTATCAAAATGTTAATGGTAGCCAGGCACTATTCAGTCTTCTGGTCTCATATTAAAGGAAGCAGTTGTTCAGAGAGTCAGTTAGCTAAACATTTGGTATCCTTCTCCTATTCCTGATTCTCTCCTTCCTCAGTTGTTCTAGGTGAATAGACATACATTGTTGTGACTTGATGACCTTTTCAAAGCTTTTAAGACCCCCAGGCACCATGAAACAAACTAGAAGGTAGAACAGAAGCACTAAACAAGCTACTAGATCAATTAATGGATTATCCCATAAAACTAAGATCTAAACCTCCAAACCAAGGAACTAAATCCCAGGAGGTGTTTGGTTGTTTGTAAAAGCCACAGTAACTACTCTTTTGTTGTTGTTATTATAAATATGTCTATTATACAACTTTGCCAACTCAACTTTTTATGGGTGTACAATTTACTAACAGTAATTATAATAATTGACTCTGTAATCCTACCCTTACTGAGATTTTTCATCATCATTGACCTCCTTTTTTCCCTTCTTCCTGTCCCTGGTAACCACTAATAAACTGGTCTCTATACATTTACCTTTTCTTTGTCTTTTTATGTAAGTAAAGTCATACAGTAGTTGTCCTTTTCTGATTTATTTACTTCACTTAGCATAATGTTTTTAAGCTCCATCTGTGTTGATACACACAGTAGCATGTGTCAGGACTCCCATTTCTCCTACTGGTTGAGTAATATTCCATTGCATGTATGTTATGTACCACATTTTGTTTATCTGTTCATCTGTTGATGGGCATTTAGGTTGTTTCCACCTTTTGGATATTGTGAATAGTGTTGTCATGAGAATTGGTATGCAAGTCTGTTTTTTAAGTCTCTGCTTTCAAGTCTTTTAGATATATATATGAATGGAATTATTGGGTAAAATGATAATTATATTTTTTAGAGGAGCACCATACTGTTTTTTTGCATAGCAGCTTACCATTTTGCATTTCTACCAGTACTGGTTAAGAGTTCAAAAAAAAAAAGAACACAAATCTATTAAAATGCATTAAGAACATAAATTAAAGGTATGTTAAGAGAGTAAAAAAAAAAAAAGAGTTCCAATTTTTCCACATTTTAACCAGCATTTGCTATTTTTTTGTTTGTGTAGAGGTTTTGTTGTTGTTGTTAAATCTTAATCATCCTAGTGAAAGTAAAGTGGCATCTCATTGTATTTATTTGCATCTCTTTAATAGCAACAACAAACAAAAACACTAGCTAATAAGGAGATCTGGTGGCATAGTCCATAGGGAGTGGCATGGCTAACCTGAAGGTAGCACTTCTCCAGAGGTTTGAATCCACCAGCAGCTCCATAGAAGATAGGCAGTCTCCTTCAGTGAGATCTCCTGCCTCTAAAAAATCAGCTGCACGATCAGCTATGATTTGATTCCAACTTGACAACAATAAGTTGAGTTTTCATTGAATAACAAATAAGAGAAGCCTTTGTGGCCCTGTGGTTAAAGTGCTCAGCTGCTAACCAAAAGGTCAGTGGTTCAAATCTGCCAGTAATTCCACGGAGAAAGATGTGGCTTTCTCAGAATGTAGTAGAACTGCTCCAGCATTTCATTCTATGGGGTTGAAATAGACTTGATGACTATGAGTTTTATATGGTTGCTGCTGATTAGTATTTTTTCATGTGTTTAATGGCCATTTGAATGCCCTGGTGAAATGTCTATTTAAGACTTTTTCCTATTTTATGATTATTTTCTTTGCTGTCAAGCTATTAGAGACAGATTATCTATCTATCTATCTATCTATCTATCTATCTATCTATCTATCTATCTATCTATCTATTATCTATATCTATCTGTCTATCTATCTATCTATCTATCTATCTATCTATCTATCTATCTATCTATGTATCATCTATCTACCTACATACTTACCTACCTATGCATGTTGCTAGTTTCTTGTGGACTTTATAGTTTCTGAAAATTTTCTCCTGACCAGTAGTTGTTTGTGGGTTGGGTTTTTGTTTTTATTTTTCACTTTTTGAAAAAGTTTTTGATGAAGTAAAGTCTTTCATTTTTATGAGGCTCTATTTATTTGTTTTGTCTTTTGTGCTTTTCATGTTAGATAAATTATTGTAAAAAACTAGGCCTGGCAGCTTTTCTTCTACTTGTTCTTCTAAGAAATTTATGATTTTAGCTTGCACATTTATAGATCCTTAATCCATTTTTAATTTTTTTGTTTTTGTCTATGGCATATGTCTCCATACCTTTTCAATCTATATGCAGAACAGATCATCTGAGAGGCTGGGCTATATGAGGAGGAATGTGCCATCAGGATTGGAGGAAGATTCATCAATAACCTGCGTTATGCAGATGACACAACCCTGCTTGCTGGCACTGAGGAGGACCTGAAACATTTGTTGCAGAAAATCAAGGACTGCAACCTTCAACATGGATTGAAGCTCAATATCAAGAAAACAAAGATTCTTGCCACTGGGCCAATTGGCAGCATTATGATAGATGGTGAAGAGACTGAGATTGTTAAAAACTTTAGTTTGCTTGGATCTCCAATCAACACCCTTGGTACTAGCAGCCAGGAAATCAAGAGGCAAATTGCATTGGGAAAGTTTGCTGTCAGGTTCAGAGTACTGAAGAGCAATAATATCAGTCTGGAGACTAAGGTGCACCTGATCCAGACCATAGTCTTCGCAATTGTTTGCTATGTGTCAGAAAGCTGGACAATGACTAGGGATGATAGAAAGAGAATTGATGCCTTTGAGCTGTGGTGCTGGAAAAGAGTGTTGAATATATACATTCGACTGCCAGGAGAACAAACAGGTTCGTCCTAGAGAGGGTGAAGCCAGGCTGCGCCTTGGAAGCAAGGATTCTGAGGCTTCATCTGACATACTTTGGACATGTTGTTAGGAGGGACCAGTCCTTGGAGAGGACTGTTTGGAAGGAAAGAGGGATGGAGAAAGAGAGGGAGACCATTGATGAGATGGATTGATACAGTGACTGGGATAATGAGGGTAGGTGTGTCAGGGACAGTAAAGTTGGCACAGGATAGAACAGGTGTTGTATATAGGGTCACTGTGAGTTGTAGGCAACTCAATGGCACATAACAACAATATAGCATATGGCATGAATCCTATTGAACTTTTCTCT